TAGCACTATTGTATCTGGGTTAAATTTAACGCAACAACCAATGACAAAAATGTATCCAACCCCCCGTCGGCTGGGTGTCACTCTTACCTGTCTTCAAAACTTGAGAGCCCTGGAACGCGCCCGTCTCATCAGCATCCATCAACACCATGGAGTATTTGGAGGTATGCTGTCCTGGCTAATCTACCGATAGATTGCAATTGCTAACGTCATTTATACTCTAAATGAGCTTACTTGATTTTCCGCCATCACTCTTCCTTACTCCGCGAACTTCAGGCGTGTGAATGTGATTGTAACGTGCGCGAGGGGTGGCGTGTGCCCGATCTGTGATTGACAGTCAGATCTCACACCCCCCTGCGCTGATTGGACCCGATGAACCGGGAGCTGTGGATTTTTGCAAAACAAATAACAAGCTCCAGGTGGAGTTAGAAGCTCGGGTTTTTTTCTAAAACCACTTTATTTATGTTGTTCTGTCAGATTATAGTGTCGATTTCACTGAATATGATCAAAAAAATGTTGCCGACGGCAGCTTTAAGCCTTGTCTATTTAGATATTCAATTGCAAGAAGGTGCAAAAGAGAACTCATTTTGGTATTTGATGTGAGAAGTTTTGTGCGCACAAATCCAAAGCGCGTGCCCAGAAAGCAGTGTCAGACAGCGCGAATATACTTAATTGAATTCTCTTTCGATACTTCTTGCTCTTGAGTGGACAAATTCACACAAAATTATATCAAAATGCCCATCTTGGCAAGTATCCTAGTAAACACAGTCGGTTTTGGCTTAAGTGAGCGTAATCAGTTGAGAAATAAAACGCATGTGTGTATCAGTATGTTGGAGATTTGTGCGGCTCTTAAAGTGACAGCAGCCTAATATTCCTGCTGCGCTGCTGTCTGTTTTAATTTTAATCACACAACAAAAGACAAAACATAAAATACAATTTAATAAATGCGCTCACTGCTCTTGACTAAAAAACGTTTGTGACTTTAATAAGGATTAATATATATTTAATTTATACAGCAGTGTTATCTTATTTCATATCTTTGTGCTGTTGTATTTATGTATTTATGTTGGCCTGTTGAATGTTTAATGGATCCAATTAATGTTCAATGAAGATGATTTGATGATCCAGGAATAAACTAGCTAGTATACCTTGATGCATGCATTTTTGAACATTGCTAATTTAAAACATGATCACCACAGTAATCTATTTTAATGAAAAAAATTATATCAGTATCGAAATCCGGCCAAAAAAATCCTGGCTGTGTATCTCCATATGTATATACACTCACCTAAAGGATTATTAGGAACACCTGTTCAATTTCTCATTAATGCAATTATCTAATCAACCAATCACATGGCAGTTGCTTCAATGCATTTAGGGGTGTGGTCCTGGTCAAGACAATCTCCTGAACTCCAAACTGAATGTCAGAATGGGAAAGAAAGGTGATTTAAGCAATTTTGAGCATGGCATGGTTGTTGGTGCCAGACGGGCCGGTCTGAGTATTTCACAATCTGCTCAGTTACTGGGATTTTCACGCACAACCATTTCTAGGGTTTACAAAGAATGGTGTGAAAAGGGAAAAACATCCAGTATGCGGCAGTCCTGTGGGCGAAAATGCCTTGTTGATGCAAGAGGTCAGAGGAGAATGGGCCGACTGATTCAAGCTGATAGAAGAGCAACTTTGACTAAAATAACCACTCGTTACAACCGAGGTATGCAGCAAAGCATTTGTGAAGCCACAACACGCACAACCTTGAGGCGGATGGGCTACAACAGCAGAAGACCCCACCGGGTACCACTCATCTCCACTACAAATAGGAAAAAGAGGCTACAATTTGCAAGAGCTCACCAAAATTGGACAGTTGAAGACTGGAAAAATGTTGCCTGGTCTGATGAGTCTCGATGTCTTCTGTTGAGACATTCAGATGGTAAAGTCAGAATTTGGCGTAAACAGAATGAGAACATGGATCCATCATGCCTTGTTACCACTGTGCAGACTGGTGGGGGTGGTGTAATGGTGTGGGGGATGTTTTCTTGGCACACTTTAGGCCCCTTAGTGCCAATTGGGCATAGTTTAAATCCCACGGCCTCCCTGAGCATTGTTTCTGACCATGTCCATCCCTTTATGGCCACCATGTACCCATCCTCTGATGGCTACTTCCAGCAGGATAATACACCATGTCACAAAGCTCGAATCATTTCAAATTGGTTTCTTGAACATGACAATGAGTTCACTGTACTAAAATGGCCCCCACAGTCACCAGATCTCAACCCAATAGAGCATCTTTGGGATGTGGTGGAACGGGAGCTTCGTGCCCTGGATGTGCATCCCACAAATCTCCATCAACTGCAAGATGCTATCCTATCAATATGGGCCAACATTTCTAAAGAATGCTTTCAGCACCTTGTTGAATCAATGCCACGTAGAATTAAGGCAGTTCTGAAGGCGAAAGGGTGTCAAACACAGTATTACTATGGTGTTCCTAATAATCCTTTAGGTGAGTGTATATATATTGCATCGTGACATTATTTTATTTTCATCACAAATGAACATTTTTTCCCCAAAATACACAATGTAAATAAAATGATTTTTATTTGCATCAGCATTAGATGTATAAATACTTTATATAATTACTTTATATTTTAAATAATACTAAATTATATTATATTATATTATATAGTGTGTCAATATTATATCAATATTTTTTAATTTACTTTAATTCTAATGTAAATAAAGATTTTTTTAAAATTTATTAGTATCTAATATGTTTTTCTCTCTCTTTTGATTTTGGGGTGAAACATGACCCTGACATGTTCTTGACAGGCTTCATGAGATTCACCCAGAAAGGTCCCCTGCCATTTGACACCAATGACAGCTCACTCAGCACTTTATCAATTTTTCACTCACACATCTTTTCGTTTGTCTATCGCTGACTGACCAAACATTCATCACAATAACACTCACATCCATCTGCGATATGTTTCAGAGCCGGTCGCAGTGCAATTCCTCACTGTGATCTTATCAAAATCCACTTGAAAGAGGTGACCTTTTCACTTTATTGTATGATAGGGCAGCTCATACACAACTTTTCAAGTTTCATAATAATTATTGGTTTTAGAAATACTGTGGGGTCTCATCATCAAATAAATTCTGTCATCCTTTTTTTATTGTAATGCTCACTTTCTTCTGAAGAACACAGAGCTGCTCTTTTCATGTAGTGAAAGTAAATGAATGCCAACCAGGGGCTGTCAACCTTTTTAAAAAATAACCATTACAGTAATCCGTACAGTACGACTTGTGCGTTATATTCCAAGCCTTTATGTGAGGAACAGACCGTCACTCCTTTGTTCAGGAAAATTGTGGGATAATTTAAATTTCCTAGTCCATTTCTTTTGTGATGCATAATTTCCGGGGGCCGATGTGGCATTTTGTATTCAGGCTGGATGGATGGAAGCCTCTGTGTGTGTCTGAGAGCAGGTTTAATTACCACCAGCAAACTGGAAGGGATGCCAACTGGCTGCTAAGTTCATTTCTGTCAGGCAAATAATTAGGTCAGGCTGCCATGCCCTCAGTGATGGTGGGACATGAACGTTCAAGAGGTGTTCAGACTGCAGTGTTGAAAGCAGGAGATTTGAGAGGTTATTAAGGTACAGTTAGACCTGAGTACAGTAATAATCACCAGTTGTTTCCAAACACCTTCCACCCCACTCCACATCTGCTATAGAGTGCTGTAGTGGTGGCTTTATTTTTGTAGGTTAACCTAGAAGTTAGCATCGCTCTGGTTCCCTCGATGAAAACCCAACTGGATTTTTTCATTGGCTTTTTTTCCATTGGATTAATACAAACCAATAAAAGTTCCTAATTCTTACGCATTTGGTTAATAATGATAATCTTCACAAATGAACAAATGAGCCTAAATACAACTGCCAGAAGTAAAACGTGGTCACACAACTTCAATGTCTCTAGCATTGAGCTTCAGTCAACTCTTTCAAATCTTTAATAATTTTTTCTGAAAGTTCGAGTTAGAATAGTTTGCATGAGCGCGGTTATAAACACAACAAGGCTGTGTTTGCGGACTATTGATTGTGATTATGTTTAATGTCCCTGACAACCTCTTAGTCAATTGTTAATAACCACCTTTTTCTAGACCGGTATAAACAAAAGAAAAGAAAAGAAAAGAAAAGAAAAAACAACAATGTATGAAAAAGTGATATGAAATGAAAAATATTATCAACATTTACTCACCCTCATGTCGTTCCAAACCCGTATGAGTTTCTTTCTTCTGTTGAACACAAAAGAAGATATTTTGAAGAATAGTGGTAACCAGACAGTTAACGGTAGCCATATTGTAGGGAAAAAAATTTACTATGGAAGTCAATGGCTACCGTTAACTGTCTGATTACCACTATTCTTCAAAATATCTTCTTTTGTGTTCAACAGAAGAAAGAAACTCATACAGGTTTGGAACAACTTGAGGGGGAGTATGATGACAGAATTTTCTTTTTTGGGTGAACTATTAATTTAACCACAGACCTTATTTCTACAATTTAATAATAATAAAAAAACGGAAAAAAAAACATTGACTTCAGAACAATGGAACCGGAAGTGCTTAATTGCTAACTTGTTAATGGGCTTTGGCCTTCAAAAATATGTCATCCCTGCAGGACTCGATTAGTCAGACAAACCAGGTAGCTCCACCCCCAAACTCATGCCATTGGTTGAGCCAGAATTGTTTTGCATTCATCATTTCCTCTCACATGTACTCTGACAGTTTTGTTTGTCAGCCGCACCAGCATCACAGTTTCCTGAACCTGTTTGTTGTGGGACCTGCGTACGAGGTTCTGGACAAATATCCCAATTTTCACTGACTTCACAGTTGAAACCGAAATGACTGAATGACTCGCTTCTCCCACAACAGCAAGTTTTCATCCGTCTCATTTGGGGTTTTGACCTCTGTCTTGTGTTCTCCTTTGGTTCTAACTTCCTGTTCTGTCACTATTAGGTTATGTGGGTATGCAACCTGTGCCGAAAACAACAAGAAATCCTCACCAAGTCAGGGGCCTGGTTCTACAGCGGCCCAGGGGACGCCCTGCCCCCGGGTGCGAGTGACCCTCGGCGCCGCCACGAAGAGGCTCCGCAGGAGAAGAAGGCCAAACTGCAGGAAGCCCCGCTGCTGTACCAGGGGCCTCCAGGGGACCGCAGCCGTGCTCCAGGACTCTTGCGCCAGGCGTCCCTCAACAACGACTCTGGTCTGAAGCCCAACGACCCTCTGAGCAACAGGTGAGTTCATGTGTTTTTAGAGTGCTACGATGTTGAAAAGTTTGAACTTGCAATTAGATGCGTTTAGAAATCATTATTCCTTGTGAGCAGCAGCACACTTCAAGTTATTCTTGTTACTTTTTAAGAAACTTGCTGAAATAATTTGCCCACAGTGACTGTATTTGTGAATTATATTAACCCTCTGGGGACCAGAGTGTTTTTGGGGCCCTTGGGATGTTTTGACATGCACTGACATTTGTGCTTTTTTCAGTTATTTATAAACATGTTAATGGCAAAGGTGTAAATTCACTCTATATAGCACAAACTTGGCTACCATGAGATCTGAGCAACATGTATGTACATGTTTGTATTTTTAATAGAATAATGTTTATGCGTGGTTATTGAAAAAAATAAAAATGAAAGTTGCTGAAATAAGACCACAAAACACATATTGATTATTTCTTCACAAGACTTTTGAAAATTGTATCACATAGCCTAGAATATTTGCTCCAAAACTATGTGAGAATCATCCTGACTACTCATTCAGATAAGTCAATAAAGTCTTTTACATTTTTAATGACGTGTTTTGTTTGAGAAAGCTTTATGCAGGAGGCTTGATCTCTCATTAATATGTATGGCATTCCACACCTGAGAAAGACAAAGACCCTCCCATAATGGCCCTATTAGGTGCTATCAGGCCATATCATTACAGGAGCCTTGCACAAAGAATGAGGAGATTTAAAAAAGAATGGCTTTTAGATTGTTTGGATATTATAAGGAAAATACAGGGTGCATACGTCTGGACACTTCTATCACACACCCTTCACCATATAGACATGGTTTTATTTCAGTTCAAAGTTAGAGTTGGAAACATCTTGAAAAGAAAATTGTCTTTCTCCATAAATGTCTTAGTTTGATCATACATATTTCAAAGTTGAGGATTCATTATTTTGATATAGCTTGAACAAACACTATAACATCTTGGTTGATTAGTTTATTGACAAAACATACTATATATTTAACATATGAGCAGAAACTCCTAAAAAAGCTTATTTGATGTCTATTTTAGAGTAAAAACTTTATCCAAAACGAGTCAACGAAATGTTGTCTGTTATTTAGTCTGTAACAGTGCGTATCTGTGCGTTCATTCATTCATTCACACACACACACACAAACTGTGTGACACAAACATGATTCACATTTAACAGTATGCTATTTTTCCGTTTACAGACACTACGTTATTCTATATCGCGATTAGAACAAAGCACTTGCAAAAAACACTTACTTCTCAGCTGAATCTGTTCATCCTCGAAGTGAAAATAACCCAGTGGTAAATGTCCCAGGATTGTTCCACATATAGCCGCGCAAGACGACAGTAGATTAATCTGACTAAAAAATAATGTGTGTTTTCAGAGTTCATGGGCGTTAACGCGTCTCAATGTGTTGCTTCACATATTTGCGTTTGAATAGCGCGTGCTCTCCGTAGGCGTGTCACATTACCACAGATAATCAGCTGAGAGAACGATAATGAGATGGGCTGACACGTCTCTCTTTTTATATAGATGACATAAACGGAGAATAATAATTTTAGTTTTGAATCGGATCATTTAAAAGTACAAACTCAAATGATTTAAAAGATATATTGCTTATGGCTGGGTGAATAGTATTAGCTGAGTTGTGTTGAAGATTAGAGACGTGCTCCAGAAAAAAAGTTCACGGTGACCGAGAGGCAGAACGCACACCCTGTTTATTTTCTTTATTTTACAAAAGCACAATATTTTATTTCGATTGTATGTGGGCACATAAAAAAGTAGACATTTAACAGATTATTTTCTCATATTTCTTAACTCTATATGAACAGAAATGATGGTAGTACTTTAAGTCTATTTTTCTGCTATGTGAAAAAAAACGAGCAAAACGCGCCGGCGCGTTTCTGGTCCCCAGAGGGTTAAGAACCTGATGGGTAAAGTTGGTTTGGTCAGGATAAACTTTGATGTTAGATTGACAAAGCTTTGTCTAAATGTTTGTCTAAAAGTCCCTGTAGAAAGAAATACTGAGGCAGACAGGAGATAATATGCAAGGACATTGCTAGGGTGTTCTGGGTGGTTGCTAGGTTGTTACTAAGTGGTTGCTGAGGTGTTCTAAATGGTTGCTGTGGTATACTTGGTGGTTGCTGGGCTAAGTGGTTGCTATGGTGATGCTAGGTAGTAGCTTGGTATTTATGGGTCATAACTAGGGTGTTGCTAAGTAGTTTCTAAGGTGTTCTGGATGGTTTCTAGGACATTGCTAGGTGGATGTTATGGTGGTTTGGGTTGTTACTAAGAGGTTGATTGGCTGTTTTTGTGTGGTTTCAAGACATTTTTAAATGGTTGCTAGGTGTTTGTTAGGGTATTCTTGGTGGTTGCTTGACTAAGTGGTTTCAATGGTGCTGCTTGGCACAGTTGCTTGGGTTTTCTGCGCGGTTACTAGGGTGTTGCTATGCAGCTGCTAAGGTGTTCTGGGTGGTTGCTAGGACATTGCTAGACAAGTTACTATGGTGATTTAAATAGCTGTTACGTGGCTGCTATGATTGTTTAAGTAGTTGCTAGGGTGTTTTGGGTGGTTGCCTGGCTGTGATTGCTATGATGCTGCTAGGCAGTTGCTTGTTTTTTGTCTGCGGTTGTAGAATGTTTTAGAATGTTACTAGTAGGTGTTCTGGGTGGTTGCTAGGAAATTGCTAGATGTTTGCTATGGTGGTTTGAGTAGTTGCTAGGATGCTGCTAGGGTGTTTTGGGTGGTTGCTGCTTGCTAGGGCATTTTAGGCAGTTGCTAGGGTGTTACTAAAGCAACAAACTAGGTTTCTAGGGTATTGCTAGTTGGTTAATGATAGATAGATAGATAGATAGATAGATAGATAGATAGATAGATAGATAGATAGATAGATAGATAGATAGATAGAGAGAGATAGAGAGATAGAGAGATAGATATTATCTAACATAAAATGAAGAGTTTGGTTCCAAAACGCAATAAATCCATTTAGATTAATTTGAGTAAAAATCTGTTTTCTTTACCAAGAAAGTGGAAAGATGAAAACCACTATTTTCTGTTTCAAACTTTCACATAGCATTTGTAGGTCATAATAACACAAAAAATTATCCAGGTTTTGATTTTCAAAGATTTATTATAAAAACGGATTCTTTTTTCCCCCAAAATGCAATAAATCCATTTTTTAAAATCAAAATGCAATTAATCCATTGAATCAATATAAAAGTTTTTTTTTTTCATATTGAAACTGTTGAAAATACACAACAACGTAAGTTTATTAGTATAATATTTTTATTAAGAACTGTAAAGAAGATTGAAAACATTTTTCCTCCTCCCGAGTGCCTCATCTTCTTAATCTCCTCACGTAAATGATTCGATTTCGATGCCTTACGTTTCTTACCCACCGCAGAAACAACCACAGGCTCATCAATGCCGTCAAAATTAAAAAAAAAATTTGTTTGTTTGTTGATCGAAAAGTACAAAATAGATAAGAAAAACTAGGAAGCCGGGTGTATTTAAGGCGCTGCCGTTACTGTTTACATTGCGTGGAATGGTGCGTTGTGATTGGTTGAGAGCGGATATATCGCATTCTGCAGAGAAGGGAGACTGGCGTTTGTCGCGGTTTGGAAAGAAAGGGAGAAAATATGACAGAATAACACGGCGGAAATCGCATTTTACTTCAAATTAAACATTGACATTTCAATACCAACCAGATACAATACTGATTTTTGCAATTTGTTTTAAAAATGGCGTTTATCGCGTTTTGGAACCAAACTCTCCAAATTAACCTTGCATGAAAAGTTACTTTTATTTTAAACACATGCATACATGAACCTCATGCTGGGTTATCTGAAATTGAAGCTGGGAAAACAACAGCTGGAGCATGCAATGCATTCATTCAAAATCCATCTGTTTTTCAGACGTTTACTATTACTAATTTGGTGCTGAACACGTCAGACAGGTAAATAACAATCAGTAATTTATGGTGAAACCTGCTCTAGAAAAAAATGCAGGGAGTCAAAACACATTTATCAAACATTACACCTCTAATCTGCAGGGAGATGCTAGTGCACTGTGAGCAGTGAGTGTGATTCCATCTTTTCCCACACAGTGGCGCTGTCTCTCTGAGCCCTGGTATCAAATTCTCTCCCTCAGTCTTTTGCTGGGATGTCTGTATCAGCTTCACTGCTCAGGGGTCAGAGGTCAGTCCTGGAGAGATGTCTCCATAGAAACAGATGCCTGCTCCCTTGAATCCGAGGCGACCGCTGTGTATTAGTTTGATTTTCCGTTCCTGAATACCTGTGGAGGAGAGGAATGTTGGGCATGTGCCACAGGGATGGGGCTGATCTCACCTGCTGTTAGTGTGTGTTGTGTTGACATGAGTACATTTGAATGACAAACCCTTGAAATGAAAATTGCACATTTCGACTTAGTGATTTAGTATAGAGATGTACTGTCATCACTTATTTGTTGGTATGTTTCCACGTGTCACACATGTTTATTGGCAGTTTCAGCACATCTCATTGTTTTTAAGACAAGTGTCAAGTTAAACTACATTTATGATTTTATTTGAACCGACTAGGTGAAGTACACGCAAGACATGGAGGTTAACATTTAAAAGTTTGAGGTCAGGAAGATTTTTTTTAATGTTTTTATGTTCTCATTTATTTGACCAAAAATACGGTTAAAACAGTAATATAGTGAAATATTATTGCAATTTAAAATATGTAATTTATTCCTGTGATGCATCGCTGAATTTTTAGCATCATTACTCCAGTCTTCAGTGTCACATGATCCTTCAGAAATCATTCTGATATGCTAATTTGCTGCTCAAGAAACATTTCTTACTGTTATCAATGTTGAAAAGCAGTTGTGCTGCTTTTAAAGGCCCACTGAAGTGCCTTGAAACGCGCGGCGTTATGCATTGTGTTGACGTAATTTCCACTGAAACAGGAAGACAGGGCGGGACATATCGAACAGCTCCTCCCCTTTTTAAA